TGTAAAATATGTTCATGTTTGCAAAAACAATGTTCACAATTTTTAAATTTGTTCAGGAATTCAAATAATGTTCTTGAAAAAATGGGTTCCTCTTAAAATTCATTCACAAATTTAAAAACTGTTCATTTTTTCAAAATTGGTTCACAAATGTACATATTGGCATTTTCAAATTTGGTTTGTGAGGTTCAAAAAATGTTTCTCTTTTGAAAAAAATGTATTTTTTAAAAAAATTGTTCACGTTTTCAAGTGTTGTTCAGAATTTTAAACCTTGTTCCCAGATTAAAGAAATATTTTAAAAAAAATGTTGAGATTTTTCAAAAACTATCATATTTGAAAAAGTGTCTGCATTTTCCAAAATATTCCTTTTTTGAAAAAAAGTTTGTGTTTGAAATTTTGAAAGTTTTAGATTTGCCGCTGCCCCTTTTTTTTGAGGGAAGGCCTTCATGGCTAGCTTTATTAATAATCAACAGAAGTTACATCATCCACCAAACTGGAAATAATACAGGCCGGGGCCTCATCATTCCAGGAGTTCGAGATCTTATTACAGAAACAAAAGCTGGCTAGCTCATGCACTGCCTGATTACAAGATCTAAGGCAATGTTTAAACTTGACCTTCCCGATAAGTGACACCGCATCCACGCAATCCACGAACACCGCAGCAGCTGCGTCCCACCATCTGCTTTCACCTGTGCAATATTGTATCACCACGAGCGAGTCCGATTCAGCTTCCACCCTATGAAATCCCAGTGAGTTTGCAAATATAAGCCCTTCCCTCATTGCCATTGCCTCCGAAGTAACAACATCATAGGCATGAGGAAAGTATTTGCATTGAGCAGCCAAAAAATTCCCCTTGCTATCTCTTAGAACTGCGGCTACTGCTCCAGCCCCTACATCAGCATAAAACGCTGCATCGACGTTCAGTTTCACAAACTTCGGTTCAGGTCTGCACCAAGTATTCACCAGATCGGTGTGCTTCTTTGAAAAGGTTTCGTGGTAGTTATTTGTGATTGCAAGGACAAAAATAGGCCATTTTGCTGGGTCCAGGCGTTTACCATCATGTGTAACTTGTCGTCGAATCCACCAAAGGTACCATATTCCCACCGCAATAATCTGCTTAATATCTATGTTTGGTTTGAGCGGAGCAGGACAGTCATCAGCTATTAGTAGATGTTCCAGAATGACTGAGCCTGACCGGTCAATCTTTTTAGCCTCTTCAATTATAGAATACCCAGCTAACCCCATAGAGATAATGCATGAGAGCAATCAAACAGCAAGTGACGCACATCCTCGGGTCCCTGGTGGCATATTGGACATGCACTATCTGAACCAACATGCCTATTGGTAAGTATGGATTTTAAGGGTATTATTCCATGCAGTGACGCCAACAGAAGATTGAAACCTTTCGTGGAACTTTT